AGCTGAAGATGAATTTAAATCTTTCATCGGTCTGGTTTATAACCTTTACCAATCCATTTGATTTTATCTCCCCCGCGAGCAAAGTGAAAAGTAGTCATCCAGGTTTCGCATGAGCACTCCTGGCTGCAGGAGTGACGTCTCGAATTCATTCTCTAATTTGTCCAGGAATGCGTTTACCAAAAGTCCTGAGAATAGTTATCACATGGGAAGTCTAAATATTCGTCCATTCACGTTGTTGTAGGTGGTTTTTAGTGTCAAGTAGATTGGTCGAGTGAAAGACGCGCTCCGGATCCTTTCTGCTTAGGAGATATATTATTTTCGATTCAAGCTTTCAAGCAGGGTCATGAGTGGCTTTTGTCTAGAAATGTTTGTATCTTCAGTATTCTATAGGCTATTGGCTGTCGGGCATTCTTTTCTATTAGTGAATTCATCCTACATCTGTCGATTTCTCTATGTTTATCCACTGTAGTGTTCCACTGCTCTTTGCTCAATCATTCAAACATGCATTTGCCAATTCAATTGATGTAGTTACTTATTTTCGGTATATGCGAGTTTCAAGAGTTTCAGTTATTCCCGAATAAGAACACAGTCGCCAAATCACGATAAATGTCGCATCAACCCTGTAACTCAATTTCACTTATGCCTTGTAGTGGTGTGCTAAATTGTCACAATACACACAATCTGGTGTCGAATCCCGTTGAGGTGAGGATGAAACTTGGATGAGGTCGAGTCTAAAATCCAGTACAATTTCGGTAGACGAAGTTAACTACAGTTTATTGGCATTGTGAAGCCTACTCATATCGCTGTGGGAAAACTCAACTATCCGTGCTCAAATCATCTCAAGAAACCTAATAACGAAAATATGGTGATAGGGATAAATGGATATGGAACGATTTAGCTAGGCATCACTTAGGAAAAAAGTAATATCTTCAATTGCTATATCAAATATAAGCTTGCTTAATCGACAATCCCAACAGAGAATGTGATATTGAAAATATCTAACATTCCTTGAAATTCACATCTGGCCTGTAACCCAAGGGCACCTGTGGCAATGCGGCGTAGTGGCTAACGTGTCGAGCTTACATGCTGCACTGTCATGGTTCGACTTTGGCCTGAGGTGCTGATAAGGCCTATGAGAGGTCGAAAATGCGGTCCAATCTGGATGGGAACACCTTTTGCGAAAGCAGGGCTATGTGAAATTCAATGGAAACTTCAGCTCTACTCATATCATTGTGGGAAAAATCAACTACCAGTCCTTCATCACTTTAAACGAAATAGGGTGAACACAACTTATATATATATATAATTTACAGGTAGTCTCGAAGACTTACGGAAAATTTTTTTAATGCTAGTCTAATTGCGTACATGAACACAGGAAGTCAAATTATTGGTTCATCTACGTTGCCG